CCGGTTGATGGAGTTACTCTTCGAACAACCACTATCGAGCCAGAGGGCAACGAAGAAGAAATCACCTTTGAAAGCATGAGAAAGGGACAAACGAAAGACGTGAACTTGAAGGCTGTCCGAGAATGGTTCAATATTAGTCACACCTACTTGGCAAGAGATAGCCAAATACAGTGGAGCTATTAAAGGGGACTTAGTGGAATTCCCTGTATCTTCATAATGGCCTTTTGCACCGGAAGTGGGAGAGCCCCCGATGGAGTTCATATAGTCCGCCAACTGATACTGCCGAAATCACATGTCAGAAGTGTGTTGGAGGAGCTTCATAGCAGCAGTTCGAAAGGACATTTTGGTACTTAAAGGACACTGGCACGAGTTCAGGAAAGATTTTATTGGGTCAATTGCCGACGGGACGTAGAGGATCGGTGTAAAAAATGTGATGTATGCAATGGCAGAACAAAGGTCTACATATTCGCTCGGAAACGTCTGAAAGCCAACAGCAATAAAGCAAAAGCTAGAATAGACATGCATGCCACAGGGATACATTTTGAGAGAGGCGACCCACTATGAATGAACAATCCCAAGCGACGAGGAGGACTTTGTTCAGAAACTACAACGGAACTGGGAAGGCCCTTACATCGTCCTCAGGAAAAATCAACGGCCGAATCTACCGCATTCAGCTGTAAGAGGAAAGTAAACCCAAGGTAGTTCTCATTACAAAGTTAGCGCCATACCGTGGTCAAGATCCTCCCTGTTAGTTCCAACCAGGTCCCAGTAATCAAGTTATGCGGGACAAATAATTAGCGAAGAGAGAGCAATGTTACACTGTAGCCTACAGTGTGCTGCGGTCGTCATAAGTAAAGGTGCGAGTTAAAGAAGAAAATAGAATATTTGAGAAATGTCATTTCATGTTAAGAAACATCTGGACGGTTCGAGAAGGTTAAAGCGAACTATATGTATAAGTCGATGATCCTTACGTCAGAGTTTTTCAGTTTTATGATTAACGTTATACGTTAATTGTAAAAGTTGAAATAAATTGAGTTACCAAAACCAGCGTAATATTATATTAGTAAAATAACAAAACAAATACCAATTATTAATAATATTAATCTTTATAATTTTGTTAAAAAAATGTGAATTAACTATTATATTTAATTGTGGCAAAAAAATATAGTAAGTCAAATTATGCTCGTGATTGACATTCTCAAACCAGTTGTTTTGTTATGATTTTTTATGAATCATATAATAATGTTCGATTCTCGTTGTAAAGTCGATTCCGTGTTGCCAGGAAAATGTTAGTTCCGACACTGTATAGCTTCGAGAATTTCTCAATTTTCCCTATTGTCATGAAATTCCTAATCCGACCCTGTGCCTGTGTACGCTCGACCTTCAGATGGAAACCGACTCGTGATCGAGGCGACGGAACGACTGCCGCTGAGGCACTAGAAACAGCTGGAACGTCGGAGAGTGCCGTTTAGTCACAGAAATAGAATGTTCGAGATGACCGTCTGGAGACTTCTAGTAGGAGTTGGACTTAATATAAATAGCCGACTCGTCGGCGGACAGTTAGTTGATTATAGACAGTTTAATATAGAACATTGTAATGAAAAGTTAAAGTGTAAAAAATAAATTAAAATTGTTAGTTAGTGTCTAAATATATAAATTAAATATTACGTCTGAAATAAATTGTAAATAGTGTTTTTAAATAAATAAACTTTAAATAAATTAGACTTTCGTCACACTATTTTAATGGTAAATGAAACAACAAAGGCAAGATAGAGTCACAGCATTTAGCGTTTATTTATTCAAACAGTTTATGTATTTTAATTTATATTCACTCAAACACTAATTTATTTATTTATTAGTACTCAAAACCACATTATTTATATCTCCAACACTTATATACTAATTTATATTAACAATATTTTTCTCATCAAATTGACCTCTAATCATAAACAAATTTTATTACGACAAAGTTGTGCTATTTATATGAAAATTTGGCGTTGTAGACCTGTCTTGAAAACTCTAGACGCCCTCGAATCGACTAGACCAAGTGTTGGCACAGCGTCTGCTAATTTATAGACTTTTCACTTAGGCAGCTGAACGGCTCCCTCTTTTACAATTTCCAATTACACAGCAGAAACAAGGGAGAGTCTTCGCTGTAACCTGGACACTGGGTGAATGGCTGCAGACCACTATAATTCTAATGATCCTCCAATCCAGCTGATTACACTCTATCTTTTACAGGGTTAACTCTTCAATTTAAGTAATGCTTCCCATAATAAGTGGATCGATCATGAAAAGTGTTCTTTATTACCAAATAGGAAAGGTAACGTGATCTATCTTGATGTTTTAAAGCTTTTCCAGGAACTAGTAACTGACCTTGAAGTTTTGGTAATCGGCCAAACTTCTTCCTGAAAACAAATGCCAGTCTTCGTACGTCGTTGATACCGGCGGGAGTGCTATGGACCAGCGAGTAGTCGGTTTGAACCATGCGCAGATCTTATTGTTGCTCGGTTGTAACACAATATCTTGTTTTCACGTTATATACATCGATAAATACTACAAAGATAAGGTCATGGTCTTCAAATAGCGCCAGATGATTTTAATGCACTACCTTCGGTTTATCATTTAGGATCTTGCTTATATGTTAAATGGCATCATTAGTTTTTTTCGTAATGAGGTACGGACCTTCCCGAGACCTTTGAAGCTTCAGAGAATAACCCTTCTGTCTTTTTGGTTTATGGAGCAAGACTTGATTGCCCCCCTTGGAACATAATTCTGTGGCTTGGGTATCGTACTGTTTCTGCATTCTATCGCTCAAATATATCGTCCATTTTTCTTCGTAACCGGATCACATAGTCTTCACCGGCTATATCTTCTCCGGGTCGCCATCCTACCTCAAGGTCACACGGTAGTCACAAGCAAATAGGACGTTTGCTGGTGTATGGCCTGTTGATTCATTGACAATGAATATATAGGACTTTGCGAAGATCGAAAGGTACTGATCTCATTCTGATGGTTGGAAACCACTTTTGACAGATATTTTCCAATGGTCTTATTCATTCGATCTACTTTATTTTATGTAATTGCTTAATTACATCTTTTGGTTGAAAGGTGGTGCTTTAACACGAGCAGAACTTACAATTTCTTCTAATTTCGGCTTTGATTCTGCCTCATGGCACTTTATTTCACTGTCCTTGGCCTGTTCTATATGTTCCACAACTTGCCTTTCTGTTGTCTAAATTTCTTTTCAATCCCTTTTATTTTTTCAGCGAAAAAAATTTCCATTCGTATATAAGACATTTTATTTTTCAAGTCGGAAGAAAATTCGGTTTTTAAAGAAGCAGAAGAGACTCTATTTTCCAAAGAAGAGATTTAATTTTTCATAGAAGTCATATCAGAAGAAATTTCGTTCTTCACAGAAATCATATTAAAAGAAACTTTATTTTCTAACGAAAAATAATTTTTTATAGAAGAAACATCAGAAGAAACTCTATTTTCCAAAGAAGAGATATTAGACGAAATTATAGCAAAAAACGCATAATCTGAATGATGTTATCATCAGTAACATAAGTTTTTTCTGACAATTTTACCTTTCATCGTGTAGGAAATTAGTTTGTAAATATTTAAAATAATTGATTTTTATTACAGGATAATTCCCCAGTTCATACGGCTCGAATAGTAAGAGAGTGGGTTAACAACAACATAAATGTTTTTCCATGGCCAGCAAAAATCCTGACTTGAACCTCATTGAAAATTAAGGGGCTTCATATTCTAAAAGATATGTCAATGATACTTTATGTACAGCGTGATTTCTAAGTTGATACTTTTTCAACGGTGGATACAATGACTTAAAAGAAACAACTTTTTCAAATATTTTTTTATATAGGTAGTTAACTAAACAATTTATTTTCATACACATGAGCCATTTGTATTTTTAAACAATCCTACACTAACTGAAATCTATCACGCGACGAAATGACAACGAAATGAGATATTTATCATTGCTTGACATAAAAAATGTAGACACCAACAAAAAAATTTATCGTCGTATTGCAGAGATTGTTCGACTTGTTAAATTAGCTTATCTCCCTTACTTTTTAAGTAATTTAAAAAAAAGTTATTTCTTTTAAGTAGTTGTAGATATACATACCTAGTTGAAAAAAAAGTATCAACTTAAAACTCACCCTGTATAGGCTGGCAAACCGCGGTCAACTAGGTATGCAAAATTATTGAAACTGGTAGATTCCTACAACTTGCAACATTTATTTTTGTCCAAGACAAGAAGATTGGAAAGTGTTGTGACAGCTAATGACTCTGCAATAAAATATCTTCATTTTCATTAGAGACCTTTCTTACACCCTTGATAGTTATTTTCTTTCTTTCTTTCCTAATATCCTCAAGACATTCGTTGATTTATTTATTTACTATTTTTCCTAAACTGAAACTGTACGAATCTATCTATTCCCGCATTTTATACACAATAAATTATTGATCTAATTTTAAATCTATTTATAAAATAACATATCAGATGGCCCTATTGAGGATAAAATGAAACCTGCAATAAAATGTTGACGAGTTCCAAATTTTCGATAATAGATAGCGCTCCGAGCCAGCTTATGAAATACGAGCAGCTATAGAAAGAGGATAGTCTTAGAGCCCTTTTATATTTTTAGAAAATAAAATTTGCGCCCATGTAATTTGAATGCTAAAGTCTCTAGGCAATTATTATCTGCAGTCACAGTCACATTTCTATTTGCTAGTAGGTATTTAGATTTGAATTAATATTCTAATTATCTTTGAGATAAAAAGAAAAGCATGGATAATAAATATTATGACAAAATTAAAAAAATATTATATGGGTACTCTTGCAAATAGCCCGCATGATTCTGTATAAAAACTTTCCTCTTTTTACTTTCTCGTAGTATTGGTGAGTAAACCACCGAAGAGGTAGTACCTATGTGAAGTGTGTCTTTGTTTTTGGAATATCGTATATTTTCAAAATGCTCTATAATGTTACCGAACAAAGTAAGTATTCATGTAATATTTAAGTGTAGTAGGTAGTAGGTATCTATGGAAATATATATGTAGGGACCATAGATATTTTTATTTTGTTTATGCTTGGTTCTGATTTCTTTAAAAGGATAATTAAGTGAAATTAGGTGATGCTGCTAGGTAATTCGGTGAAAGACAGGTTAGATGAGTAAACAGTGAAGTTGGAAGGAATGAGTCTAATATAATTCAAGGACCATTTTTTTTCCACTTATTTACTTTGTTATTTAAGTCGTCCATCAAATTACTCTGCTCCAGCAGCAGCAGCAGCAGCAGCAGCAGCAGCAGCAGCACAATATCTGCGTAATTTCAAATAATACCGAAAATAATACAGATGCCCTTTCTATTCATAGTCAACAATATCATTCCCTTGTTACCCTGTCACATGCCTTTCTAATATCAATAAACAATAGGTTTATGTCTACCTATATTTCTTCATAACTTGCTTAAAAATAAGAAAATTGATATATTCGAGTAGTTACGTCCTTATTTGCCTTTTGCCTTTATTCCACCATAATTGGTGTATTATTGTTGTACGTCCCCTCTGATTTTGTAAATTGGAATAGGATCACTTGTCCACTCATCTCGTATTTTTTCCGTCTCCAAAATTTTATCGATTTTATCGTTTTTCTTCTTCCTGATAGCATCTACCATAGCAACAAAACTGCTTTTGCATGGTCTAGAAGTGCCCTGTCAAACCGTTTTACCTATCACCTACATCATTATCCTTTATAAGAACCCTTCCAGGCATCATATATATTATTTTCGTCCTTTCCTTAGTCACTAAATTCTCATTCATAAGCATTTAGAATATTAGCTTTAGTAATTAAACAGATTGTATTTTTTAGATTCATATTCTAATTATGTTTTTTTTTTTTTAATTTCTAGTAATCCCAATGTTGAACAACAGTATCCACCGCCAACCTAGGTTTGGGTATATTCCCCTCTTTGGTCTGCTTCTAGCCAACGTCCTGTCTAATAGTGTTTTGGCTAAGTATGCTCCACTTGGTGCTTTACGTCTTAGTTACGAACCTTTACCATGGCTTCACAAGCCCACGCATTACCAAAACGCTCACGAAAGTTACCACTACTGGCATCCAGTTGGCAATTCGTATGGACCTGCTCCGATCAGTTCATCAGAAACAGCCAATCAGCACATCCATCATCACCATCAATTTCCTGGTACTACTCAGCAGCAGATAGTTAATATACACGAAAGACCGACGGAAATAATAATTGGAGATACGGATACTGAAGCTACCGATCAAACTGAAACTAGCTCTCCACTTGTAATTATTGAAGAGAAACATGATATACCATTATTTAAAAATAGTTTGGAGAAACCAGAGGAAAAAAACCTAACTCCTGAGTCCCGATCGCTCCCGTCAGCACTTTTAGCTTTCTTAGCGAATGCAACAACTCCATCAACCAAAAAAGTTAAAAGAGGCACAGGAAAATATACGAAAACAAGAAAAAATAACAAATATATTTCACAGAAAAAGAGAAGACCTACCACTACATCTGATTATTACTACGACAGTTACGAGGATACTACAACAACCAGACGTTACCAACCAAAAAAGAAAACACAGCAAAGAAGACCTCTGGTCGATTCTTACGAAGAGAGCGAAAGCAGTATAAGCCAAAGTTATAGTGATTTAAGCGAAAACAGCCAAGAATATGAGTATGACTCTTACGAACTAACTACTAAACCGCACAAAAAAAGAAGGCGCACTACCACTACTAGGCATACCACCAACAGGCCTAAGAGAATAAAAGACAAGTACAAATTCGGTAAACATCAAACAAATCCCTCATTTCAAGATGATGTCGAATACGATACTGAAAGAATCAATCCGACTACTACAACAGAATCTTTAAAGATACGTCACCAGGAATTGCTTTTGAGACAGCAAGAACATCTCCAACGGCAGCAAGAAGCGTTGTTAAGACAGCAGGAATTTTTGCAAAGACAGCAGCAGACTGATACGACCACCGAATCAACTGAGTCTACATCAACAACAACTGCAATTCCTACTGTGGTAACTGTAGGAAATCTTTCAATGCCCAACAACGTTACAAATACTACAGGATATGGTAAGTTTAATTTCAAATAGTAAATTATATTTTTAGCAGTATAGGTAGTTTTGTATCTATCTTGACCCACATGATATATATTCTTCTATCACGTTTCAGGATATGGTCCTTCCCATGGTTATGAAAGTATTAGCATAACATATAGTCCTACAGGAGGTGGATCCGGAGTAGTAGGTGCGCCAGGAGTATCAGGAGTATCAGGAGGTGGTTTCTCGCCATCATTTTCTGCTCCAAACCCATCTTATGGTGCTCCAACCTATAAACCACCTATTCCATCATATGGTCCACCGAGCCCATCATATGGTCCACCGAGTCCTTCATATGGTCCTCCAAGTTCATCGTATGGCCCTCCAAGTAGTGCTTATGGGGTTCCAAGTACTGGATCTGGAGGATATAGCCAGCAGAATGCCAATGGATATTACCAGTTACCCTTTAACGATTGGTATAGTAATGAAGTTAGCAGGAATTCAATTGTTAAGAAGGTGCATGATATAATAGGTTTTGAAAATGTTTTCCACTAGTGTTTCCAATGAATTACAATGAAGACCGATGTCTCAAAATGGACTGTAATCCACCATTTTCAATGACAGTTCTATATATTATCAGAAGCTGGTTTTATTTTTAAATACTGTCATATTTTTTCAAAATGCTTATAAATTAAATATAACAAAAATAATATTTTTATTCATAAAAATATTGTTACATAATTATTATTTTGAAAGTATTTTCTAAATAACTTTTTATTGAAATACAATTAACATTAGATGTAAATAGATTTCTATTAGGATTTTCAAAATAGTTTGTTATATTTTCGTAAGAATTATATTATATTGTCATTTATTTTCTGTTTCTTGTGAAAACATTATTTTTTATTGTTTGAAACTTTCTTAGCTGGTAATGTTTAAATACAACAAAAGGCAAGATATTATAATAATATTATTTTGTGACAATTACAGGCCTATAGAGAACATATATTGCTCCCTTGAAAATCAATATTTAAAAAAATATCAAATGTATGTTAATAATTTATAGACATCAAATTTTTTCGGTGACACCAGTGATTAAATTTCTAGTTATTTCATATTACACCAATTTATAAAAATTATGATAATACCAAAATGATTATACTGATAATGCACCTGGCAACAAAAAAATTATTCATTGAATCAGTTACTCTAATTAATTTTATTGATGGGTCGAACATTTTTAAAAAAATAATAAATATTTAGTTTATGCACAATTTGAAATTTTTTTCAACTTGCTTTTGTGGATAAAATAGAAACTAATTCTGAACAAAGAAGTACAATTTATTTTCAGTCAGTCACGTCTTTGTCAAATATATGTAGAATAACATAAAAAAATAGTTTTCTTTCTTGAATAATTCTTTTAATGTAGTGGTATATTCATTAGTGTGAAAAATTACGAACCTTTACTCAACTTTTCAACACAACAATGAATTGGAATCTTTATGAATTATAATAATAATTAGCTTTAGCTCAAACTTACAAGTATAAAATGTTTATTCTTACTTATTGCATAAAATGTTTACAAATGATAATAAAATGAGCCTTTGCTAGTGCTATAACTAATTTTTTACAGCAATAGCTTCTGTTTTATTCATACTATACACTATTTATTTTCTTATAAATAAAAGAAAAAATTAAATATATTTTATAATTATTTTTTTTATATAAATAATAAGAATATATTAATAATGTATTACCCAAAGCACTTTTTTATAGTAGGTCATATTACACGATTAAATGTCTATTTACCAAATATTTTTAGCTGAATAGGTGTAGGTACCATTAATATTTTTATACAAGGTTTTTAAATAAATAACAAAATATTTATATTGTTTGTTATAAATAATACACTGACAGGTAAAAATTGCAGAAGACTTTAACTATCTAGCATGCCAGAAAATGATGCCAACCATCATTTGAAAAAAACAATTGGTGTAGTAAATACCAATGGAAGATTTGACATTGCCTAGACCGATTTATTTAAAATTTAAAATGTAGACAAAATTGTGTCCAGTACAAAATAGATTGACTGTGAAAATAAATTGTTTAGAAAGCATTTTGAGCTACTACATTATTCTGTTATTTTTGGGTAATGTAAAAAACAATTATTGGCTGCCAAAAATCTAACAGCGTTGCGTTTTTAATAACAAGTCAATGACTATTACTATTATGTCACACTTTCGTTAGAAACTCAGCCCTGGTACACAGGTTACGGTTAGTCTATTTTGACAACTCTGTTAGGGTTTAATTAAAAAGGAATATTTTTTTAAATATACAGGGCTGTATTTAGGACCGACGCTACCCTTAGTTAAAAATCCGCCGCCCTAAACCAAAGTACTCTACCTGTCGGCCCAGTAAATAGTATTAGTATTGATAGAAAACAATAGATTAGAAATTATTAGAAATATAAAAGGATACAATAAAAAAGAGTATATATTGATATGATATCTGTTTCAAAATTAATTTAGTTACATATTTTGTATTGTCAATTGGAAATTGTTTGAAAAAATCATGTTTTGAAGTAGTTGTCAGATTAGATTTTTGGAAAAGATTTGGGATAGAGATGTAGAGATTTGATTATTAAATGTAAAATATTGGAGTAACAAGTATTTCGTATTATTGAAGAATAGAGCAGATCGCAATTAAGGGTAGAAACAGTTGTAAGTAGTTGTAAGTTGGTATAGAAGAAAGCAGACAAAGTATGAGATAGCGGAGAAATACAGCGAAGTGCGGCAAAAAAGAAAATATTTTAATAAATTTTATTGAAATTAATATTTTAGTAATTTTTTTGTAAATTTTTTAATATCAAAATTAATTTGCAATCCCATCAAAATTGAGTGGCCACCCGTGATTAACGACAGTATAGAAAGGTTGGAGGTAAGATTTTCTTTCGATATTTGTCCAAATTATTGTGATTTCTGGATAATTGTGAAAGGAACCTAGAGACCTGGCACTGAGTTTGAGTTATTGGGCAAACTAATAGGTTAATTAATTTATTTTTTGAATACATACAACTTTGATTATTATATCAAAATAATATACCGGTATAATATGGATTTTTACTTATCGCAAAATCTGGAAACCCGCACACCATTGGAGAACAGTTAATTTTACCTGCTGTTGAAGAGGTTTTAAAAACTGTTCTGCAAATCTTCATTTGACATACTCAAAAGAATTCCTTTGACTAACAACACTGTACAAAGACGTATTGATGAAATGAGCTCTGATGTTAAAAGTTTCTTGTGTGATTATCTACGAACAACTCATTTTTCTATTTAACTGGACAAGCCAACTTTACTTGGCAATGAAGCATTATTATTGGTATATGTTCGATTTGTTATGGGAGAAGAAATTCATGAAGAGCTACTATTCACGAAAACTTTGAAGACGGACACTAAAGGTGAATCAATATTTAATGTTTTGAGTGATTTTTTTAAAGAAAAATCGATTCCATTCACAAACGTTATTTTGGTGGCAACAGATAGAGTTCCTGCCATGGTCGGGCGATATCGTAAGTTTATAAGCCATTTTAAAAAAATTATACCAGAGGTAATTGCGATTCACTGTGTTGTCCACCGACAACATCATCTAGTAGCGAAAAATTTGAGTGAGATTATAGGTCTTTTTGACTGACCCTTAAGCCCACTCTTAGCGGTAACCACGAGTTGTATAGGGGGGGCCCAATTTGTATTTAAATTGGCCTCTAGACAACACACGGCTAGGGGGTTAAGTTCAGATGGAACCTTAACTTCCTGACAATGATTCAGAGGGGCGAGAAAAGGGTTTGCCCTACAGGGACTATTCCCTTTGGCAGTATCTCTCTCTTTCTCTCTCAGAGATCTGACTAAGCCAGTACCGCCTCCTTTGAATTATCGTGAGGTTTTATAAAACAAAAAAATTGAAACAACAAGCGTAAAACAAATAACTATGAGTTATTTAACATATAAACAACTATTATTGCTTCAGCAATTCAGTAGTCTTTGCTGACTACACAAAACTAAATATTACTATTCAAAACTATTTACTTACATGATCATTATATTTTAATCCTTTAGGCTGCAGGGCTGGCTGAGGCACAGGTTACTTTTCCCACTCTGTGGCTTTACAAAAAAATCTGATGTGTCCAACACATGACTTTCCTATCTAGTTATTACAGGCTTTTTCCGGTTATTTTGTACAACTTATTGCAGCACCTCTATAAATGTTTAGAGGAGGATAAACTAAATATATACATTGTCCACATACATCTACCTCGAAACATTTTTCTATAGATATTCATGTAAAACGAAAATACTGAAAAATTAAAATTTCCTACAATTTTTTCATTACGGTCCATTTTAGAAAAATCATGTATAAACAAAAATTATAGAGATCGATATCGCAAACAACTTTTATTTCAAAAACTTTCATAAAAATCAGAATTTTGCACATTTTGTCAAATTTCTCGGATACGGACCATTTCAGGAAATTTTTACATAAAACAAAAATTATAGATAATAATATTAGAAGTAACTTTTATTTGAACAATTTTTTTCTCCAAACATTAATAACAGATATATTCCATAAAATATAAAAGTAGCCTCCCATAAAGTACCCCCCCCCCCCCCCCCCCCCAGATGTTACGACTATGTCCAAAATCTAATCATTTCACGTCAGGCCGAAATAAAACTTATGTTTAAAATTTAATGTTTTTTTTATCAGTTTTTGAGTTTTCTTCAAAATTCGAAATTTACACATTTTCTCAAATATCTCGAATACGGTCCATTTTAGAGAAATTATGTATAGAATAAAAATTATAGAGAATTATATTATATTATATTTCATTTGAACAATTTTTATAAAAAAATATTTTTTTTACATTTTGTCAAATTTCTCGAATACGGACCATTTTAGGAAAATTTTGTATAGAACAAAAATTATAGATATTAATATTAGAAGTAACTTTTATTTAAAGAATTTTCTTCTCCAAACGTAAATAACAGATATATTCTATAAAATATAGAAATGACCACCTATAAAGTACCCCCCAGATGTTCCGACTTTGCCCAAAATCTAATGAGCTCATTGGACGCTGAAACAAAGCTTAAGTTTAAAATTTGGTGTTTTTCTGTGTATCGGTTCATGAGTTATGCGTTATACACACACACACACACACACACACACACACACACACACACACACACACACACACACACACACACACACACACACACACACACACACACACACACACACACACACACACACACACACACACACACACACACACACACACACACACACACACACACACACACACACACACACACACACACACACACACACACACACACACACACACACACACACACACACACACACACACACACACACACACACACACACACACACACACACACACACACACACACACACACACACACACACACACACACACACACACACACACACACACACACACACACACACACACACACACACACACACACACACAC